ATTTTGTACTATACTTAAGTCAATATTTTGGTAAAGTTCTTTTAATTGCTCATCAGTAGTACTATCGACCCAAACTGTACGCATCGTCTCATTACCATTCAGTAGATTTACTAAATCATCTTTCAAATCTGCACTGTTTATATAATCATGTGATTGGCCATTGTATAAAATAAAATGTTTAAAGAATATCGCATCACTTCATTTTCCACCTTTTAAAGCATACTCATATAATTCTAGAACGTCCCTTACTACCTCGCCAGTATTAATAGAAACGAAGGGAATATTTGAAGTGCACTCGTGAGGTGTTATAAAAGTATAATTAACTAGATCCGAAACATTACTGTTTGTTGATATATTTCCAATCAAAATATCAGATAATATATCTGGGTAAAACGTTGGGTCTGGAATATTCGCAGAGACGAGAGAACCTAGGAGGTTAGAATAAAAAATAATTAGTAGTGTTACATTAATACTTACCTAATATTGTTTCGAAACGGAATTAATTGTGGATATTACGTTATCTTCTTGTTACAAGACTGTTCCGAGACTACCATATCACTATTGTCTATATCAAAATACTATGATCTGTCAAACTGGGACACATCATATAATCGTTGTTCCCTTCGTTAGTAATATCATGACTGCCTTTCTTGGGAACAGGTTTCCTTTGTTTTAGTAATTTTTTAGCTAATGTCATGCACCACGTGCTTTTGTGCCATAGAATTCCAATGCTTTTATTATAGTATCGGTTTGTAGATACCAAATTGCCTGAACTTATAATATGGCAGGTCTTAATATGCTAACAAAAACAGATGGTAAAACCGTTTAGCGATATTTATAAACACATTAATGTGAAACGTCAAGTTCACAGCAATAATAAAAAAAACACTTATTCTTTAATTGTTGCAATTTTATACGTACATGACTAGAAACACCTCCATATATTAACTTTAGAAATTTTAATTACATTCTTGATATGCAAGTTATAAACGCTATTATACTTGTATTAATATAACGTCATACTATTTTGCCGAGACGACTGAAGGACCAACTAAGCATAAAACTTTAGCTGATCAACAGCAACATGAAGATGTGGTAAAATTATTTAATGATATAAAATGGAGTTTTTTATAGTAAACAAATTCTACTTCATTCATTTACTGTCAAATTTTGTCACTTCCATATCTCAACAAAAATATAGAATACTTTCTCAGTACTTTTCTTATTTTCACATCTATCTTACTATATTAGTTTGATTATTTTTCTCACCTGCAACACATTATATTTGGTAATAGGTGAAAGAGGTAGTTTTGTAAGGATGTACCAAAGCGAGGTGTATATTATTCTGTATTGTTAATTCAATACCCAATTATCCTTATTAAGAGTTGCCTAATGTTCTCAAGATAAGTGTGGGTATGAAATGCAGTTCATAAATGGGTGTAGATTTATATGTACCTTCCAAGACAAGAGTTCTTTATGTTAGCAACATCTTTTACAATTTTTTTGCTCGAGATGTTTGATCATCCTAGTTCTACTACGTGTTATAATAGCAAGGGTCCTTCGTATGTTCGCCCATCTCCCTACATCGTGAAAACGGCACCGCATAAAAGTCGAAGAAATATTTAATATCGCTAGTTAAGGCATTTTTGAAATGAGACAAGACGTCTTTGCTATGCTGATAAGTAGGTTATTAGGATTGGTATCGTTGTCAAATACTATTGAAAACAATAGCTTTTGTGCAAAATAAAGTTTCCGAATATAAACAAAGGTGATTAGCGATATTTTCGCAATAAATAATATTTATCAGTGAACGTTTTAATGGTTCAATCAGCCCAAATTGTCAATACTCTAGTGATACTATACAATAGGTATATAGCCATAGAAACTGGCCATAAGGAGGGAGAACGAACTGTAAGGTATCCCTACTTAGTTCGTGCCATCTTTACATACTCAATCATACTTTCACTTTTATGTATAAACCATTACTTTTATATGGCAACTGGTCGCTTATCTGGTAACCAGATTGCAAACGTAGAGACAGCAAATTTCAGTGGAAGGTTATATTTTACATTTGATCTAAATTGGATTATAACAACTGCCATTTCGACATTCATCTTAAGTGATATGCTTATAACAGGAGGTCAATTATTCATAATTGCAAGTATGTTGTCTGTTACAGTTATGCTATGTTTTGTATTCACAAACATGCTTGTCATATTATTAACCCAAGCTATAAGTGGTTCTGCCTATTCTATGTATTAGTTTTTTAAAGGATATTCTCCAGAGTAAAGAAGCTAAAAGTGTTCGGAAAGTTTACTATGTGAAGTTTCTTTCTGTACCTTTCAGTTGGAAAATTTATTCAAAATTGTTCCTTCAGTAAGAGAATATTCCAGCTTTGGGACTGATTAGTACTAGTAATTAGAGAACGGTGAAATAAAGAAAGCTGTAATGAGTCAGACATTTATAAGACAAAGTAATAGATGTTTGTGAGAAATTACAATTTCTCTTAACTATTTTAGGTATTAGAAGCAATCATACAAAACTACTGTTATTCCTTGTAGATAGTGACATAAATAATAACAACGTTATGGATAGGGTGAACCAAGATGCGATGCTGTAATATATTCTTGTGTATAGAAAAGGGACAAACTTTAGCAGTTGACTTAAAATACTGACAGTACCAATAGAGATCATGGCAGATCAATTTAGCGGTGAGTACTGGTTATTTTACGTAGGGTTATCCACTCTGTAGTTTAAAGTTGAGCACTATACTTTTCTTTGGACTGATACTTGTATATTGAATACGAGCAGAGCATATCTGGTCAACTAGGATTCATAACAATCCCTTCTTTTTATTACATCTTTCCATTTTTTAGAAAGATGGGCAGCAATACCGTAGAACATTCATCTTTTTGTAATTTATATAACAACCTGCAATAGAATATGGCTAATTTAAAAGAATTAAAAATATAAAAATATACTGTGTATATACTGGCATTCCAAACTTAATGCATTTTACTTTCTTTCATATTTACTGTACTGAATTTTCACCTCTTCAAAAAGTTGATACGCAATATACTATCTTCGCAATTATATAAATTAAAACAAATATAATAGTATGTAATATTTTAAATAGTTACTGTAATCAAATTAACAAAAATAATCTATCATTTACTATCTCAAACAATTTAATAAACTAAAATAAATATATAAGCGATACAGCAATACCACATTACAGGAAAGTCAAGCGTTTCTAACTAGCCAAATAAGGTATACCAGACTAACTATACTCTTCCTAAGCAAGAGCTTAGACTTACAATACATTTTCTATCAACTAATGAGAGTCTACCTATTGATTAAATTGCCTAACCTATCCATTACATCTTATTACTGTTAGTGGCATGGTCCAGTATTTTCCGCAAAGGACCGCCTGCCCTATTTCCTAGGACTGAAAGCGGAAAATGTGTCAAGGAAACAGTCAGCGAGAAATAAATCTGTTGAAGTAGTTTTAGAGAACAGATTAATGAGAACACTATCACTTCCTACAAGGTTCCATGTTTTTGGTGATACGCTGTCCTCTTCAAATATGTTCCATGAAATTAAATCAGTAGGCAATTTACAAGATAAGAACACCAGGAAGTTGGTCTAGGATATGTATCCGTTGGATATCTGAGTGATTCAGTAAACACTAAACTCGAATAAACTATCAGTTAACGTTCTATCTACTTCTACAATTATTTGAATTGGATATGGAGAAACGTAAGATATCTAATTCATCAATATCTTTTGAAACTTTTAAGGTGCATTGGCTAGAATTGAATGCAATTATGTTTTTAATTATTTCAATTTTCTTTCTGATCTATGGAAGGTTTAGAATAACTGATACATATTTCTTTATTGATGTAACTTTTGGGAAAATATTGTCATTCGTTTTTTCTCAAGTGGTATTCAGTTTCATGAAGAATTGGCAACTTCAGTTGTTTGGAGTTATATTTGGGAGCACGTTTATGATTATCTCTTCTCTTGGTAATTATGAAGCTAACGATAGAGTACTCTGATTTAATGCGTATCCCATTCACTTTTTAGTATTAGTACTTTATTTAATCATTTAACTGTTATTAAATTGCGATGTAGTAATCTAGATGTGTCAATACTTGATACATGTTCCGGTATATTGAGATGGGACATGGATTTACTGATTTAGAACTTTATTTACCTGTGATATATTTTTACCCATAATTACAGTAATCCTTCCTACGTTGTAACACACATTCCTAAGCAAAGGAAATAAGGCCGCATTTCCAACTTGGACAGCGACAAATAATTTTTCACAATATAATGAATGCAGTTGGTTAGAAAGATATATCTCGAATGGTGATCGATTTCAACATTTTAATTGAAGTCATAACAAGACATTTTGACCCTGTATATATAAGTAACAGAACTCCACTGTTCAGGCGAATCGTGAGAGGACAACCAGTAAATCCAAACCGATTCGTTTCTATCACTTTACAATTTTTTGAGATCCCTTTTCAATTTTTGATTAATTACTTAATAAAAGGGGATGGTAGCTTGATGGAGACATCTCTATTGCTTAACTATTGTAAAACAATATGCAACAGTAAGACATAGTCAGAACAGGTTTCATCCTTCCTATATCTATCATCCTATTCACAACTCTGAGTCACCTAAGTGTTTTCTACATTTGATATTCAAGTATCCATATTTTAACAAACAACCAATTTAAAATCAAACGATATTTATATATAATCTTAGGTAAATGTACTCTAACAAATTACTCACAATTTTTGGTAATTTTCTAAATATGTACTGAGTTTCGTGTTGCAAATGCTGATCTCATTAAAAAAAATGCTACAATTACACTTTTTTTTTTTCAAATCTTATGATCATCCCTCAAACATATATCTTGGATCATTCTAGGCATACATAATCAGGGCAGTATTTATTATCTACTAATTTTAAGAGACTGTGAATAGACAATGAGTCTGCCACAAGAGCAAATACCATTAAATTACCTTCGAATTGTTAAGAAAATATGTCCATGGTCACTTTTAGTCTTGGCTAACATCCTAGGGAGGAAATTTTTAATTAGGAGGTGTGGTGGTGTTAATAACGCTTTAGGTTTTAACAGGGAAGTCTCTAAAACATCGAAACCCCCATGTCATATAATTTGGGTTGTACTATATTGGATGGGTCCATTATTTAATGCTTTAATTACTGTATTGTTCATGTACATTCTGGACTCAGAAAAGCAAATTGTTCGACAATTTATTCAATTGACTCAAAAGAAATACAAACATGCAATTGCTTCTCTATATACTGTTTTTAGTTTTGATACCCTGAAGGAATTGAAATTAAAACTTGATGGTTTCATAAATAATATCTCACAATCAATCGGGGATTGCTTCGAAATAAAAACGTTATTTGTTTTGCTTATAGTTTTTTTCATTCTCAACTTCATTATGGAATTAAAAAGGTCCCCTAATTGAAATTAAGCCTATTGAGACTTGAGATAGACTTCCGCTACGTTAATGTATGTCGATTAAAAGTAATAAACACGCTATGATCATGTCTGTTTTAAAATTGAAATGGAATAAACATGTGAAACATCGACTCAAGTATATACGCCCATAATGATTTATAGATAGAAGAACTCACCTACGTATATCCATATTTATTATATTTTATTTTTATTGTATTGATTTTGAAATATATCAAATATGGTCATCATGTGCGACGATAGACGGTTGTATATTGATCGAAAATGTATAAATAAGATCTGCCACTATTAATTTAGTATGCAGCTAAATATGTTTAAGATATGCTCAGAGCAAAGATGAAGCTATTGGTTTAAACTATCATGTTAAGGATACCACTCCTAACCATTCTCGGATGATCAGGATTTCGAATTTTTGCCCTCTAGAATGAAAGATAACTAAATATGTTAGCCAAGGGGTTGAAAAAAATAATATCTTATTGATAGCATTATATAAGTTGGTGTCGCAGTATAAGAATATGTATATGTTTTACTGATCATATGTACGATAATAGAGCTCTTGTATGTTTCATAATTACTTTCAAAAATTACTTGGAATGAGACTTGTCAACTGTTATTAAAATATTTTAACCCAAAATAATAGGCTAGTGTAATGTATCTATTTACTGGTTATACCATGGGAAGTTCTAGAATTATACTAAAACCTAAAAGTGAATATCTTTTTATTGTGGTATGTGTGGTTTCTTTTCTACAAACACAAAGTCTTGGTAAAAATCGCGCAAAATATCACCATTTATCACTTCATTAAACCAGTTCACAATTGAAGGATGCTCTTGTCTCCACTCCTTATCCAGTACAAATGTGAAACCGAATGAGAAACTTGTAGCCGCGGTCAAGTCTGCTAGAGTGATATTTTCATTAACTAAATATCTGTGTTTAGAAAGATGATCTTCAAATATTGGTACCATTGTGTCTACCCTTTTTTTAGCCTCTACTATTGCCTTCGCATCAAAAGCTTGTAATCCCACAAGTGGTTTTGCGTAATTGTTCATTTCATTTAGAAAATCTCCATTTGCAAAAGATTGCCATCTAATAATTTCTGCTTGTGTCCATGGATCATCTTGTGGGCCTAATAGCGTTTTGCATTCTTCTTCGTTACCGGACAGCTTCAAAAGATAGTAATTGATAGCCATGGCTTCTGTCAACCTCTTACCACTGTCAGTTCTTATTACTGGCACTTTTTGATACGGAAACAATCTCTTAAATTCATCATCTTCAAGGTTAACTGTAGCCAGTTTTATATTTTCTAACTTGTACCTATTCACAAAGATAGCTGGTAGCACGGTTCTACAATATTTCTCAGGATTCACGTACAATACAGAACGGTCATTCATTTCCAATTTGTTAAATCTGATGTAGCTCTAATCCGTACTATCTTTGAGAAGAAGAGTAATCCGTTTTATATAAAATGTTAATATCTCTCTTTCTCTCCTTCTCCTTATATAAGCTGCGGATCTCCTCATCGCCCTATTCCTTTGCGTATATTATATACCTAAATACAGAAAAAAAATTTGATAGTGCACATACTACAGTAGTTTAAAAACTGATCGTTCACAAAAGGTAAGGTAACAAACAATTGCTACACATAGTTATCAGCAAATTTATTACTTATTTGAGATATTTATTTGTCTTCAGGCTCGTTGGGTGTATAAACTCTTTGAAAGCAATATGTAAATTTTATAAATGCTGCTATAGAAATATTTATTTGCGAAAGTCACGGTAAGCTTCGGTTGATAATACTACAACGCTATCGCCTTCTTTTAAATCACCTGCCAATTTCATCTTTTTTGCAAAATTGATGAATGCTGCGTATGTAACTGCACCACAGGGTCCGGAATTCACATGTTGTGTTTTCAACTCATCTAATGCGATAACACAGTCTCTATCAGAAACTAATCCTGAGAAAGTCACTCCACCGGAAAGAATGGGGAATGCAATGCTCGACATTGTTGGACAATTCAATCCGTCCATGATGGTGCTAGAGTCACCTGGGTCACTAGATAACTCACCTAAATATAATGATTTGTTCACAGTGTAGCTGGTATCTGGCTCTACCACAAATATTTTAGTCTTCGTAAGCTTCGATCTATAATATAATGTGATACCGTGTGCCAGGCAACCTGCGCCTGCAGGAATAAATATTACATCTGGTTCAAATGGAATCTCTTGACAAAGTGTTGCATATCCATGCGCAATCCAATCAGGAACGTCTTCATAACCACTAAATGCAAAATCTTGAATAAGTACATATCTTTTTGGATTCTTTTCAACAAATTTAGATGCAAATAGGACTGCTTGGTCATAATTTCCATTTAGTTTAACAACTTCTGAACCTTCTTCGGATCTAATCTTTTCGCACTCACTCTCTAAAACATTACGAGGGGTGAATATCTTTGATTGGATCCCCAGTAATTTTGCCATATATGCAACAGCTCTACCATGGTTGCCATCTGTGGCTGCCACTAATGTAAGATCAGAACTCTTATTTAGAATATATTCCTTCAGATCAATAAGTGACATGTCACATCTGTTTAGGTTAAATCTCTCGGTCAAACAACGGAATACACCCCATGATGCACCTAGAATTTTAAACGAAGGAAGCGTGAACCTAGAAGATTCTTCCTTGACGTACAGTGACACGCCATGCTCGTTCGGTAATTGCAATAGTTTTGATGTTTCATATCCGGGAAATGATTGGTGAAATTTCTGAATTACATCTTTAGAATTTATGAATTCTTCATCCTTAGCTAACCAGCTAGTAGCTAAGGGATTGGTATAATACGTTTCGGTCAAAGGTTTATAGCTTGTACTCATGAATTTAACTTTGTGTAATCTAAATAATGAGTCACGTTTCATCTCTAAAAATTGCCGCAATCAGCATTATGGATAAATCACATTTCATACATCGAAAACTAGATTCATCATAAGCATTGAACAAGCCAGCGAGACTCCCATCTTTAAATACCAATGATTGAATCTTTATGTGATACGTTTCTTTTCGGCCCTCTTCTATCTTAAAGTGACCATCTTTCTTGAATACTATGTAAATATTTTCAACCCCTCGGGTTTACATTACCGAGATAATCATTTTTTATTCATTATTGATTAAGATACGCTTGACCAAATCAGTAATCAAACATGAAAAAGTTATTAAACTAAACAGAGATTCGTTTTCATAATAAAGTACCTTTGACTTTAAATATTAGTAACTGATATTGTTTTGGTCTTTGTTTTTTTAACGGCATGTGTCTGAGTTTGATTACTGTCAACACTTAATAGTGTTATTCTGAATATCAAGAAAGTTAATAATTTCTAAACTTTTATGACAGGAATAAAGAAGTCGATTTCGAAAACCGTAAAACGTAATTCGTGTATCAACTGTAAAGAGAGGAAAGTACGATGTGATTTACTTTCACCCTGCTCTATTTGTCAGAGAAGAAATGAAATATGTGTATATCCTTCCAAAGATAACAGGAGTATCCGTTTGACAGTTGGTAAAATGAAACAGTTAGAATCAAGATTAGTTCATTTGGAAAAAATACTCGAAGAGATTAGAAACCAAACTCAGTTGCCAGATGAGGTGATTAGGATATTGAATGGTGTTTCTGATGAGGACCATTTGCCGTCATGTCTCAAATCATATGACTCAAGAGTGACTCAGTTCAGTATACTGACTATTCCGGAGAATGATAAATCGAACTCGGTAATGTTAGGACCGACAAGTGTTTACAAGAAATATGATTCTGCAGAGAATACACCTATAATTGAAACGGATAATGCACATGTATTAGGAAATCATACAAATATGTTTACTGAAGATGATATTACATTCTATAATTTTGTTCCATGTGAAAAATCACTATTCGATGACGATTTGTACGAATCGATAGCTTCTTTCTTCAAATGGCAGTACCCATCTAACTATATGTTTATTCACAGAGAGTCTTTTTTATATCATTTTCTATTACTCGATTTTGATAACGATTTTGTATCCGAGGAATTAATATATTCGATAGCTGCCGTCGGATCCAGATTTTCCTCGAATCGTGCATTACAACTCAAAGCAGAAGGTTATTATACACATGCAAAGAAGTTTATATTTATGTCTCCTGAGACATCTGAAATAGATTTCTCCACAGCGAACCTGACTAAGTTACAAAGTCTACTGTGTCTTGCATTTTTTGATATATCAAAGGGAAATCTAACGAGTGGATGGATCCTCTCGGGGATAGCTTTTAGAATTGGGTCAGCAATTGGCTTTGAAAGAGACCCTAGTGAATGGATATATGGCCAACGAACGAAACTTAATATCAGGGCAGGTTATCCATTTGATTTAAAGGCTGTCCAAAGGAGAATATATTGGGGAACGTATATTGCGGATCATTTTATTAGTCTTATATTTGGCCGTTACCCAAGTTTGAGATATACTGAGGCGTCAATAATGTCATCATCTGATTTATATAACCTTCCAAACATAAAAGACTTTCTGTTCTATGACCGTGAAATTATGAGTTATTACTCCTGCGATGTGCTGATACCCCTCAAAGTATTGATTGATTTGGCTCAGATCAGTGAGTCAATGATCCTTGATGTCTTTTCTCCAGTGACTAAATCTGAGCCTGGTACTGAGGAGAGAAATAGAGAGATTCAAAGACGTTTAAAACGATTACAGGATTATAACAACTCCTTAGATAAATGGGTTTTAGGTCTACCTCCTCAAGTATCCTTAGATAAAAAGGATTTATTATCTTCAGGTCATAATTGTATTAATTTGTCAGTAAGAAGCTCTTATTTTCTCACGAGATTATCGCTAAATAGACCTTTTGTTCAATATCCTGATGATGAAAATATTAATAAATCTCCTTCCTTTTGTGAAAAGGCCGTAATAGAGTTGTATATGGTGCTCAAATCAATTGATAGAGTCTACGGCTTACCTGAATTTGAACCAACGTTACCTTTGGTATACTCAATGGTTCTAGGTACTAGCATTCTTACCTTAAAATTATCCTGTGGAGAAGAGACGTTACAAGGAGAACCAATAAAATTAATCTTAGACTTATTCTTAAAGTATTTAAGTATATCAGAAGGAAGCCTTGAAATAGCAAAAAATGCTATGGATATTGCACAAGGGACTTTTAAGAATAAAAACGATAACAGTATATCCAATTTACAAAGTAGGATATTAAGCTCAGATAATGGATTAGACGAAGCATTTCTCGACAAATTGTTGAGTGGTGATGTCATTGATTGTGTTTTTGATCCTGGGTTCTTCCTCTCTGATTCGGGGCAATCGTGATGGAATGATTTGAATGCCACAAATTAGTAAAAATATTTAAGTTTAGTAGAACTAGTCTGTTGTATATGATATATATTTTACCTTATAAAAATGAAGATATAAATAATATGGAAATTACATTGTACGTCTTGCATCATATGTTATGATAGTATTTAATAATACTTTGAACCCGTTTTCGATTTCTTCCGGTGAGCTGTATTCCGTCGGATTATGTGAGATTCCGCCTTTACTTGGAATGAATATCATAGCAGTTGGAACATTTGCATTTGTTGTTGAGCATGAATCATGGCCAGCTCCAGATAGCATTTTAATAGTTTTGTTCTCACCCACAATCATGCTAGCACTTTCTTGAACGATATCAATGCATGATTTGTCGAAATGTGCAGCGTCGTTATGAAATAACCTTTTGAATTCTAGAATTACTTCGGTATCAGAAACGATATTTTCAAGAGCTCTTTTAATATCGTTTTCGATGTTTTCCAGACCAACATCAGTGGCATGTCTGATATCTATGATGAACTCTGCAGTTTTAGGGATAACATTCACAACATTTGGTGAAATATGAAGTTCAGCGACGGAACCAAGACCCAGATGTCTCTCAGCAATTTCGTTAACAGCCATTGTCATCTTTGCCGCAGTCAAAAATGGATCGGCCCTCATGTCCATAGGAGTGGTACCAGTATGTTGGGCTCTCCCTTTTAGGTTAACACCAATCCATGAATAGGCTTGGGCACTAGTAACGACACCAATTTTTTTAGTCTCCTTTTCCAAAATAGGACCTTGCTCAATATGCAATTCAAAATGAGCTTTCAGTGGATTTTCATTACAATTGGCTTGTGTTTTACCTTTGTATGAGATACTTTCTAGAGCCTCTAAAACTGTTACTGGCTTTTCATCGGTAATTGACTTGATAGCATATATATCTTTCAGACTAGATACACCGGCCCAAACAGAAGAGGCCATTATTGATTTTGGAAACCTTGCACCTTCTTCGTTGGTCCAATTCACAACAGCAACAGGATATTGAGGAGTATAGTTGTTATCCCTGAATGTTCTTAAAACTTCTAAGCCTGCTAGAACGCCTAGTACACCATCATATCTACCTCCAGTAGGCTGAGTATCTAGATGTGATCCGATACCTGTTGGGGGACCTTTTTTTTGTCCAGGATAAATGGCGAAGATATTACCGATTTGGTCTATCTTAACCTCGCATCCCAAACTCTTTGTTTCTTTAACAAACCAATCACGAACATTTTTATCTTCTTGAGAGAGACTGAGACGACACATCCCAGTTTCAGTTTCTTGTGGACCCCATTTGTATTTTGCGCCCCATTTACTTGTCTGATGGATCGTTTTTGAAAGTCTATTTGGCACAGTACGTAAAGAAGTTGTCATAATAATGGATATTAACGTATTGCTATATGCTTTCCAGTAACTTCATTGAACCTGGCTAAATGATATATGAAAAGAGATGGGACCTTTAAATATGTCTACTAAATTCAAGATTTTGAAAAGAACATGTAAATAGCCCAATATTATATCGAATGCAATGGGAATGCATCACCGAGATGATCTGACATATCTAGTTGTTTAAGTAACACATGTGCAAATCCATCTTAATTATTTCATCAATTCAGCTTTCTTCTTACTTCAAGTTCTTAGTTTAATTTATGAGTAATAATTGAACTACTTGAATGTTGTTTTTAGTTACTTATTAGGTAAACAGAATTTTTCAAGCCTCGGTGTTACAATACCGAATCTCATCACCTTCAAATGAATACTTTCACTTACTAACATTAGGAAAACTAAAATCTAGGATATAAGCTTATGATAACACAATGTTCTTCTAGTGAGCATTTACCAAGAATGATTAAATTATTACATCTCGACACCAGTTAGTGCCTTTCTCACAAAACAATCAAATGATAGAGTATTTAATAGTGGTGGTTTGAATATAAGGCACCGATTTCCACCTAGTTCGATAAAAAAATAAGGCTATAACTAACGCATTCATAAATAGACCGTATTCGGTTTATTATAGTAACCGTAATAATCTTTACTAGTTTTACAAATACGATATTCCTGGTATTCCTGGTGATCATTTAAAAATAAAAGCTTAAGCAGATATATGAAGTAAAGTAAATTTTCCCTACTACGGTATAATAGCTGAGGGTAGATCCGCTCTATTTTATATTAGTCAATTATATGTTTACTGTTTTACTTAAGAATGAAAAGCTTGAAAAAGTAGATGGGAAAATGTAAAAGGTTCATTTATTATATCATATCATTCTTCTCTATCGAAACCAGCCAATTAAATGCATGTCTTCCTTCTCTATATAAATACGAAAACTGTCAGGGTATGATTAAGTATTATAAATTCGCTTTTTTGTTTCACTTGCAGTATCGCATTCAGCCCGTAGACGAATAATATATATTTCCCAGATAACATAAAATAGTATTTCGAATTTTCCGTTAATCCACTCGCTACAATATTAACAATAAATTTATAATTGTCCACATGTATACTATTTATTTGAACCAATGGTCCAACTGTATTTCTAGTGTTTTAAGTTACCAATCTTTACCATCTCAAAGTAGTCTTTTGTCATTTGGTGCTATAGCAGCCAGATACTGTGCGATAGAAAGAAACAAAAAAATTGCCCGCGATTAGATAACGGACAATCTGTAGATAGCGCGATATCAGCCTGTCCGGACCAATTCTTGCTTATCAGAGGAACTATTTTACTGATAGATGAGAGCAGCAACAGTTGGATGATTAGTTCTATTTTATCTCTATTATTGGTTGCATGAATAGCTTTGAAGTTCTTCAGTGTATGTCAAAATTTCTTTGATAATCAGTTGTTGTCGTATCATTCTCTGTCATCTTGATGTAAGACTATTATATCTTTGATCAATGATTGTTATCTTTCTCACTCGTATCAACATTTAGTCGTCCTTCAGGGATGTTTAGAACCCTGTTTTCATCTAAATAGATATTTGCTTATTTGGCAAAATTAATTACGTATCCAACATCTATTGTAGAAGACTATGGTGTTATCAAGGAGCCTGGAAGATCTTGTTCTCTGTTGAGTTGACTTATCAGAACAACATAATACGATAATATTTGACCGTTTAAACGAGCGTAGGTTGATTTGGTAGTCATGTTATATACCCCAAATCAATTTTTCATGAAATTTAGCAATTATGGGTTTCGAATTTGTATAAAAGACAACCGTTCCTTGGTTTATTATCATAAGTGCAAATTTTATCTTTCTTGTCATGGTAATAGTAATATTGGTAATAAATTGTGATATCGACAATTTGTCACAACCTTAACGATAATATATATGTCAGAAATTAAATTACAAAAGATTCACGAAGATAGAATTACGGTGGATGAGGATTATGGTTCAGTAACTGAAATTGGTGGCGATATTAGAGCCCTACGTTCAGTACAGTCAAAGACTGGTGCTGGGGAGGTTAATTACATTAATTCCGCAGGTGTGGCGGATGACAGTCAGTTATTGGCTGAAATTGGTTATAAACAAGAATTAAATAGACAATTTTCCACCATACAAGTATTTGGTATTGCATTTTCTATTATGGGTCTTTTACCTTCAATTGCATCGGTTATGGCTGGTGGTCTTGCTGGTGGTTCAGTATCATTGATCTGGGGTTGGTTTATATCAGGGTTTTTCATTCTTTTAATTGGTATGACAATGGCAGAAAATGCTAGTGCTATTCCAACAGCAGGTGGGTTATATTATTGGACATACTATTATGCGCCTGTCGGTTATAAAGAAGTATTCTCTTTCATCATCGGTTGTTCAAATTCCATTGCGTTGGCAGCTGGTATCTGTTCTGTCAATTACGGTCTTGCTGAAGAAATTTTGGCAGCCGTTATTCTTACCAAAGATGGTAATTTCGTACCAACAAATGGTATGCTTTATGGTATTTTTGCTGCCGCAGTAGTTAGTATGGCATTTATGACCTCGATTGGGTCTAAAGCAATAGCCAGGATACAAGCCTTTAGTATTTCTGCCAATTTGTTTTTGATTGTTTTATTGTTCATTGCTTTACCCATTGGTACAAAGAAGAATATGGGAGGGTTCAATGATGGTTCATTCATCTTTGGCAAATATCAAAATTTTAGTGATTGGAATAACGGTTGGCAGTTCTGTCTTGCCGGTTTAATGCCTGCAATTTGGACCATTGGTTCTTTTGATTCATGTGTTCATCAATCTGAGGAAGCTAAGGATGCAAAGAAATCTGTTCCTATAGGAATCATCGGGTCCATTACCGCATGCTGGATTCTTGGTTGGATGGTTTTAATTTGCCTAATGGCTTGTGTTAGTCCTGATCTGGATAGAATTATTAACAATCCATATGGTTTTGCTCTAGCCCAGATTATTTTTGACTCGTTGGGAAAAAAATGGGCAATTGCATTTATGTCATTAATAGCGTTCTGTCAATTCCTGATGGGTTCTTCAATTGTAATTGCTATCTCCAGACAAGCATATGCTTTCGCTCGTGATGATGGTTTACCATTTTCGAGATATATTAAACGTGTAGACCAAAGGTATCATGTTCCATATTTTGCTATTATGTTTTCATGTACTTTGGCTTTATTACTTGGATTACTAACTTTAATCGATTCGGTAGCAGCCAATGCATTGTTTAGTTTAGCTGTTGCTGGTAACTATGTATCATGGAGTACGCCAACAATTATGAGACTAACATTCGGTAAAGATTTATTTAGACCAGGCCCATTCTACTTAGGTGATTTCTGGTCTCCAGTGGTATCTTGGATAGGTGTCATATTCCAATATTTCATTATCCTACTTGTCATGTTCCCAAGTCAACAACATGGCTTGGAAAAATCAACTATGAACTACGCTTGTGTTATTGGACCAGGTATGTGGATCCTGTCTTGGGTTTACTACAAAGTATATAAGAAGAAGTACTACCATGGTCCAAAGACTAATTTGTCAGATGAACAATTTATCGATACCGTGGGATCCCAGGTCATTGATGAGATATTGTCTCCACATGAAACAAAAGGAAGTTTAATTGCTAAACCATAGCAATATTGATAAAGATATTACTTAAAAACGACACATCTGAAAAAGTTCCTCCCTACCTTGGCACTAGAAGGTTAAATTATCATTACTAATTTTATATATTCATTAGGTTTATAATCAAAAAAAAATAATTAAAACATTTAAACAGGATAATACTTTCAGCTTGAAATGGATGGATGTATAAGATATTGTTATATTTGACAACGTTTTACATGCACAACAATAATTATTTAATAGTCATTCGAACTCATCATACTTTAGCCTGGACCATTGTTGAAAGTGTATCACATTAACTTTATTGCTTGTATTGAGCAAATATCGGAACTGAGCACGTGACTAGTTGCCTTAATGGAGCTTACTTTTACTGGTTATTGACGTTTGTAATATTGCTCACCCTTGCGGTGGGCAAGACTATATAAGGTATTGTATTTCGTTTATTTAACAAATTGTACCTACTCAATAACGAACATCCAAACTATCTAACTGTTATGCCAAAACAACTTGTTGCTGCGTTGCAGGTAGGTTCCTCACCAGAAGGAACAGCTGCAACAATTAAAAAAATATTATCGTATGAGACACAAATCAAGGAATCAGGGACCTCGTTGGTAGTAATTCCGGAGGCAACCGTAGGTGGGTACCCGATCGGTTCGGATTTTGGGGCTTACGTAGGTTATCGTACTCCCAAGGGACGTGAAGAATTTAAAAAATATTTCAATGAATCGATCATAATAGGAAATGGTTCAAAATGCAAAGAGATTAAGGCCCTTGAAGGGCTATCCAAGAGAACTGATGCCTCGCTGGTTGTTGGGTGCATTGAGAGAGATGGCTATACTCTATATTGTACAATGGTATTCATTGATCCGCAGCTCGGATATATTGGGAAACACAGAAAGTTGCAACCCACAGCATCAGAAAGATTAATATGGGGTCAAGGCGATGGTTCAACTTTGACAGTAGTTGACTCAAAAGTCGGAAAGCTTGGTGGTGCAATCTGTTGGGAAAATACACTTCCTTTGTTAAGGCATACAATGTATGCTAAGGGTGTCCAAGTGTGGTGTGCACCCACGGTTGAAGATATGCCAATGTGGGAGACAATTATGAAAAATATTGCATTTGAAGGAAGATTATTTGTGGTAAGTGCAGTTCAATATATTCCATCAGATACAGAGATGGGGTTTGCAGTTTCGATCGAAGGATCTGAGGGTGTTAGAAACCTACCTGGATTGGAGCCATCTAGTGAACCATTTATCAAAGGAGGTAGTATTATAATTGACCCATTTGGTAAGGTTTTAGCAGGTCCTCTACATGGACAAGAAGGTCTCTTAGTCGCAGAGATCGATCTAGATCTTATAGTTGAGGGTAAGTACGATTTAGATGTTGTTGGTCACTATAGTCGTGGAGATATTTTCCAGTTGACCGTCAATGAACGAGCAAACGATGTCAAATTTGTCTCACGCAAATGATTAAGTATTTATTTATAATACGTCTAGATAAAGGTTTATAATGAATTATCTCTTGTAATTGGTATTCCCTTTGTAATAGAGCTGAAAGGTAAAAACCTTCAGCATTCCCAGTCTTCCTATTTTTTAATTACCGCATTTGGGTTTTGTTACATAACATACTGACATAAAATTTCATATTTTTCTATTATTTTAAGAATGTAGATAAATAAATATATTAATAACTAAATAATATTATAAAGGGAAAAGGAATAATTTGGAGTGTTATTACTGGTTTATGCGGACTTTTTCTTTATATTACTCTTCTTTGGAACTCTGAATAGATAGTATAGAAGAATACCAGCAGAATAATTGAAAACAATATAACATAGGAAGATACCGTAATTTCTCCACCTTTGAGAATAATTGACGTCAACTCTAGTTAGATAATCGTTAGTGTGCGATAGTTCACATAGGTTACAGACATCAGTAGCTAATTGATCTTTTAAATAACCTGTTTGAGCAACGAAAAGGTATGGGCTTAGATAGTCACCACATGTTTGGCCAGCTGGTGGAATCAATTGTAGAAACTCATTTTCGTCACATTCAATGGCAACATTGCTGACACCAACAGCAAGTAGAGCCTCTAATAGGTAAGTTAATGGGGATACTCTGTACATGAAGACCCAGAAGCCAGGCATTGCCTTTCTGGTAGTAAAGACACCGCAAAAAGATAGACACATGGTGAACATTAAACTAGCAGCGTAAGCAGCATTCTCTAGGACTTGAATAGCTGACATAGTTAAAATACCCATTGACCCGACAAAAACGAAGTAAGCTGTACAGATTAGCCAGAATAAAACACCTCTTTCGTAAAGTTGATTTGCAACCGAGGCATTACGGTAAAAACCAATGGTATAGTAGTAAATAAAGAATGCTATTGTACCAGCAAGGAAATTCCAGATAACTTCGATCAAAATTTGAGAAACGATAAATGCTTTCCAGGAGAAAGTTCTGGATGGTCTTTCTCTAACCTCGTAAAGATCACGTTGCTGGACATAGTTAGGTAAGTATTGTTGTAATAAAGGATTGAAAATAACAGTAAACATGAAAATGGCCAATGTTTGACTTTGTAAACCTTGCAAGGAAGCCCTTGTTTTGAAAAATGTAAATCCAATGAATAACATATTGACGATTGTCAATGCGAACTTGGACCATAGATATTGTGGAGATCTCCAGTATTGTTCCATTAGACGTTTACCAACAATAATTATTTGATATATTAAAGATGTAGCAAATTCGCTATCATCAATAGTGATAATCTCCACTGAATTGTTTCTAGATTTATTTTCCAGTTGATCAAGTTCTTTTTGGACCATTTTGTAATCAATAGAATTAATCCAAATATCATGATAATCTTCTTGAACATGGGAGCTACTGGATGAGCCAATTATACTTAGCATCCATTCAGCAGGGTTAACATTAGAAGGACATTTTGGAGAGCCGTGTCTTTCAAAGTAGTTTATCATAGTACGGCAACCTGAGCCTAATTCACCGAAGTAAACTGTTTTACCACCTTTTTCTAATAAGAGTAATCTATCGAATTTTTCCATTAGGATTGCGGTTGGCTGATGGATAGTACAAAGGATGGCTTGACCTTGATCTGCAAGTTTTCTCATTAATTGGCAAATAGACCAAGCTGTTTGAGAATCTAGACCAGATGTAGGCTCATCAAGGAAAACTAGTAATTGTGGTTTAGCAGCTAATTCGACACCAATGGTTAATCTTTTTCTCTGTTCTACGTTTAAACCTTCACCTTGAATACCTACAATGGCATCTGCGTAAATTTCCATATCTAAGATCTTAATGACTTCTTCGACATATGCGTTCTTCTCTTCGATAGGAACTGAATTTGGTTGACGTAAATAAGCAGAAAATCTTAATGATTCTCTAACAGTAGATGTTTTCAAATGTAGATCCTGTTGTTGACAATAACCAATAGACCTTGGGAATGAGCCATCGCGTGCAGTACCATTGACAAAGATATCACCGCTAATTATACCGGTCGTGATTCTATCAGCTAGGCAATCTAATAAAGTCGTCTTACCTGCACCAGACACACCCATTAGGGCTGTTAATGTACCTGGTTTCACCCAACCATCGATATTGCTTAATATTCTTTTTGTGTTACCTTTAGCATTGATATCATAACTAACATTTCTCCAGTGAAAAATATCTTTTGATTTGGAAAGACCTGCAGATTCAAATTTTTCCTCTTCAAATTCTCTTGATTCTTCTAATAGTGTGATATCAGTAATACTAGAGTCACTCGAACCAGCTTCTAAATCATCGACAGCATATTCTGTGCATCTAAGTGTTTGTTTTTGTTTTCTCATCTTTCTAATAATATGTTGTGGATATACCAATATTTCACCTCTTTGAGCTTTACCTTGGTTAAATTCGCAAACCACTAAATAAGTTAGTAGAAAGAATACGGAATAACCGACACCAATACCGAAGCCACGCCATTTATGGCTATGTTGATAACCATAATTGTTTTTAAGGTAGTCATCACCTAGAACATAATCTTGACCAGCTTGAGCACCACGAGCAGCACAAATTCTGTGGGTACCTGTGTAATTAGCATACATTGAACCGGTAGGGATAAAAGAAGAACATACAAATTGACGATCGTGGAATTCATTGACCATTAAAGATTCAAAAAGGTATGAAAGCGGGTTAATATACCAGATCCAAGTAGACCATCCCAGCATTTTTGTCCTTGGAATAGCAAAACCGGTATACATAGCCATACCTAAAAGTAAAACAGCAGCCGGAAACATGGCTTCTGGAAGTGATCTAGTTAGGGAACCGAATGTTCTATACATGTGAGACATTGAGAAAACAGTTACAATATTGATTAAAAAGTAAAAGAAGAATGAACCTGCATCACGTTTGAAATTAACTAGAAAATAGAAGATAATATTAAAGCAGATAGAAATAGAAATCTTGGTGGGAATTTGAGATATAATGGATGCAAAGGCGTCAGCACTCGGATGATATAAAGAATATGATTTGTGTTTTTCAATGATAGGTCTTGCTTCGTATAAGGAAAAAACTTCCAATAGGCAAGAAAATGCGTTGAAAAGGATGGCTGAAAACATTGCAGCACCTCTGAAGTAGAAACTTTCGGTATCTTCATGCTTCATAATTTTGTAAAACATTGAACCCAAAATCAACGCCATCGTTGAGTTACCAAAAAGCATGAATAAGTTGACAGTAGGATAGTTAGTTATTCGCCATATATCTCTGTGAAGCAGATATTTAATTTGTAGCCCGTAATTCACCGTATATGGAGAGGATGCCCTTGTTCTTTTGGATTGTCTTGCAATATGAGCCTCTTTGATTGTTCTACGAGATTCTTCTACATTTCTAGAAAGTTTGGCTTCAATTTCACCAGTTAATGTAGAATAGGCTTGAGATTTTTTCCAATATTCGTTCATTTCCTTTGGTGTCTGAGGAATCATTACACCTTTCTTTAGAAACTCCTTGTTAAGTATTCTTTCCTCAGGACTTGTCACCGATGTTAGGAAATCAGCAGTTGTTTGTCTTGGTGGGCAAATATAACCCATTTCTTCGAAATAACGTTTTGCATCGGCACAAGGACCAAAAAATAACTGATAACCTTGGTCAAGAACACATACTTTATCGAATAGATTGAATGAATCCTCTGAACAATGATAGATAGCAACAGTAGAAGAACAACCCATAGTGGTTGCATTAACTCTTAGGGCACGAATGAAATCTAAGGCTGTAGATGAATCTAGACCTCTTGTTGCATTGTCCCAACATTGAAACTTGGCACCACATATACTTGCTTCAGCTAAGGAAACCCTTTTACGTTCACCGCCAGAAACACCTCTTATTAAATCGTTACCAATTATTGTGTCTTTTGTGTGTGAGAGGCCGTAAGTGGCCATAGTTACCTCTGTAAGATGCTTGGCAAACGTGTCTCGGTCTACGCCTTTAATTCTGTTTTGCGGCGTTTTTAATCTAGCAGCCGTGTATAAAGTTTGGTAAACAGTTAGCTTAGGAAAATGAACATCAACTTCACCGTTGTAGATAACTTCACCTCTGTAATGTTCTTTAATTTCCTTTGGGGAGAAACCGGCATATGAAAGTTTTGAATCCTTGGTAATTTTGAACCCTTGTGTGTTGTTGGAAATTGATTTAAGTAAGGTAGTACAACCAGAACCCGGTTTACCAAGAACCACTAGTAACTCACCTGGGTTTATGCAACCCTCCATTTCTTTCAAAATTGTGAATGACTTTTCCTTTCTTACAGGTTTAACTTTTCTATACAGCTTATTCACAATTTTTTGTGGGGCATTGAGTAAATTAGCTTGCGATTCAATACCGGAGGTTTCCCCATAAGTAGAAAGATTTTGCCATATACAATCTAGAGAGTATGGTTTGTAATATTCGGGATCATTATTCATTAAAGCACTTAGGTTTTTCACCCATAGTGTGCTTGAGAAGTTGTCATTATGAGGATTTAGTCTTTGATCTTCAAGGTCAGAAGTAGTTGGATCAATACCTTTCATATCCGACAGCACTGAGTCGACTTCACTAATTCTGGAAGTCGTGTAATTTTCAGCTTTTAGGCCACTGTTGGAGCTTAAATCTTTAGCTAGGTTTTTGATTGTTTCTTCGGTGCTAGAGTCGACACCATTATATATTTGGAAGTTAGCAAACTTCTTAAATTCTTCGTCCATCTTGCTTATATTGATTTAGCACTATGGGAAGATATACGTAAAAATATAGACGTTGGCAGATTTTTAACCAATTGCAAAAGTTGCTTACGAAAGGTCTTAATATTATGTGATACCTTCATATGATTTTTTTGCATTCCATATATATATAATCCTTTTACCGTACATAAGACTCCTTTCTATCATTAATTGCAATTCTTTACAGTTTATGACATAATAATGTACAGAATTGATAAAGACTTCTTTTTCTTTTCATCAAGGACAGTTAAATGAATAACTCCACATTACGTTGCTTACTTGATACCAAAAGGGTAGCAACCCATTCAAGTGACAGTAACTTTTTGAGCTAATTTCACTTACCCAAGCAAATTTTAATTCACAAAGAAATGATGCTTGAGAAAAATGACAGACTGATAGTCATCGAGATGAGCGGCGGTTTCTGGTGACTTCTTGCCGGCTTGGGATACGCTGAGAATACCGTAGCAACGACGATCTACGGTCTTGAGATCTAGGATTTTGCTGTATTTTTTTACATTTTCGCTACAGAATTTTCTTTGCCCGAAACGCGTCCTCCCAAGAAGCTGAGATCCATAGAACGGCCATTTTCAGTAATGAGTCCCTCTAAGAAAATCAGAATTTATTACCACAGAATAATCAAAAGACATTGTTCAAGCTAATATAATATTTGATAGTAGAATTTGAAAACCCTTCCTATTAAGATTTTGTTTTACCAATTTTTAATTATTCCTTTATTCTTTCATTTGAAATTCTACGATTTACGTTAGAGGTTTACGGAGAGGTAGATCAGCTTTTGTATAATTTTGAATATCATTAAATATCGTTATACGATATAATCTTGAATGCACTGTCTTTTTATTCAATTCTTCTCCTTTTATTCTGGAATGAATTGTGCATAGAGTGACCCATTTAGGTCAATTTTTGAGGTGTTTTCTTGACCATTTATTGTGTGTATTTCCTTTAAGTGCAATAGGGTGTCTGTTTATTTCCTAAGCTTCTTATTAAAACAAGATAACATACAAGCCAATCATTTGAAAAGAATTGTTCGAAAATTTCTTTTTTTTTTGTTCTGTTGATTGTCTCGATAAGAAAGAATAAAAATATTTTATTATCTCTACCGATATTTGCACTCCAATGTAGCTTGGTAGTATATCTCTGTATAGCTCAGATAGGCATTGTTAATCTTATATGGAAACATATATACATAAATATCTATTCAAAGTTTTCGTTTAAAAGGCCTACCAATTGTTTACTTATACCAATTTTGGATATGTGATTTAAAGAGATGGTTTATTCCCTAGTTGATGTTAAACTACAGAATAAATTAGAAAATTTGTTTCATCATAACGAGAAAACTGCGATGCAAATCAGTAAACTGAAATGAAGGTTTTTACTAGAAATAAAATAAAGAACATTAAAATATTTATTATTTGATATATACTTTAAGAAAAGAATTCCCATTTTTTTTTGTTATATAGAGGTATATTATAAAAGGGTTTGATTATAGCCCTTATTTTAAAGTAGCAATGTCAATTGGTTTTTCCTTCTTGGTGACAATTTCATCGTACAATAATGTTGTTAGGAAGTCACTGAATTTTTCACCTGTAATTTCTGGTAAGAAGTACTTAGCGGCCAAAGCAAATTGGTTCTTATCACCAACTGGGCTCTTAGCTGCAAGAATGTCCACTTGTTCTTGTAGAATCTTGGCAGTAATCTCTGGAGTGATTGGTTCATTTGTATCCTGTAGAACAATATTATGGTGAACCCATTGGTATAATTGACAACGAGAAACTTCGGCTGTAGCGGCATCTTCCATTAAGTTATTAATTGGAACACAACCAGATCCCCTTAACCAAGCTTCCATGTATTGCAAACCAATATCCAAATTAACTTTAATACCATCAGTAGTAATTTTAGCTCCTTCACAGTTAGTGTTTAATAAATCAATTTCTGTAACATTCACATCAGGAACAAAATAAATTTGGTTTGGGGTACCCATGTTACTGAAAACTTCATTACAAATTGGAGCTAAAGCTGGATGAGCCACCCAAGAACCATCGTGACCATTTGTCAATTCTCTTATCTTATCCTTACGGACTTTATCCATAGCAATATTATTAGCAGATTCATCATCCTTAATTGGAATATGAGCAGCCATTCCACCCATTGCATGAACACCTCTACGATGACAGGTGTTAATTAACCTTTTAACATAAGCAGCCATGAACGGAGATGTCATTGTGACAAGATCTCTATTTGGTAAGATATGAGATGGATCATTTCTTAATTTTTTAATAGTTGAGAAGATATAATCCCAACGACCACAATTTAATCCACTTGAATGTTGTCTTAATTGATAAATAATTTCTTCCATTTGGAAGGCGGCAGGCAAAGTTTCGATTAAGACAGTAGCTCTAATGGTACCTCTTGGAATTGATAAATAATCTTGAGCTACATTAAAGATATCATTCCATAATTTAGCTTCAAGATGATGTTCCATTTTAGGTAAATAAAAATAAGGACCTTTCCCTAAAGATATTAACTTATTTGCATTATGATAAAAATAAAGACCAAAATCAAAAATTGAAGCACTAATAGGTTCACCATCAACATACACATGTTTTTCTTCCATATGCCAACCTCTTGGTCTAACAATAATAGTTGGAGAATTTGCGAAACTTTTATTTAATTTATAATCCTTTCTTGGAGTGGTAAAGTTAATTTGATCACGAATAGCATCAAATAAATTAACTTGACCATAAACTATATTTAACCAAGTTGGTGCCAAAGAATCTTCAAAATCGGTCATATACGTATTAACTGGAGAATTCAAAGCATTAATTAACATATTTCTTAAAGGTGGGCCTGTAATTTCTGTTGATCTATTAATTAAACCTGGAGCCAAAATTGGACCTTGCCAAATTGGATCATCTCTAATTTCTTTTGTTTCATTTAAAAAACTTAAATTAATTTTACCTGAATCCAATTGATCCTGTTGCAATTTACGATTTTTTAATAATTGTTTACGTGTTTCGTTGAACGTTCTATGTAATAAAATAACAAATTTTAAAGCATCTTTGGTTAAGATATCTGCAACTGTTGTTGTTGAAGGAGCAAATTGTGGTTTTGAATCAACATCTGCAAAAATTTGAACGTTTTCTAAAGAAATTTTTACCATATTGTGTTATTATATCTAATTATCGTGTGTTATGTTATGTCTAATGGTAGAATCATTCCAATAAAAAGTAATACTGGCTGAATTAGATTTAAATCGACGGTTTATATACGTGTAATTTTTTATTTTTTTTATTCAAGATCATCATCGTCATCATGCCATTAGATTGTAAGTTTCCACCCTTTGCTCCGGAGTTCAAAGGTTATCCTAAAACAAAGAGCGTGACGTTTGATTAAACAATAGTATATCGAATAAGCTTTGAGTCTTATATTTACCAGATGGGAAAAATAGGGTGTTTTAATTCTTAGGAGTTTCGTCATTTTGAGTGTCAAAGCAATCTCGGTCAACCGGAGGAAAGAGAGAAAACAAACAGTTTTCGGTCCGAAACCTCGCGGAAAGACCACACCAAAAGCAGTGGGTTTTCGTTCCGAGATCACGTGATGGCAACTTCCCACTGTTCAGGGTACCCATGTCGGATATATCGCGTGGGCGTTCATAGATATATCTATCTTTTAAGGAAATTCAAGCAACAATCTGAGAGTACTTTGGTCTGTTGCATCTATATATATATATGTATATATAGAAGGGTCATTACACTCCTGGGATAGAGAGAGTGTTAATTTGGAATAACGTGTAATGGCAATTCAATAATGGTATCTTTGGGAGACTACCATCTTGAACAGCAATTGTGTGAGTCTTATGTAAGTAAACTATATATGCACTATGCAACGTTTATATAAGGGGGGTGTCTCTTAGTACGAGACATAGCATTGGCTACAACTAGCTAATGGCCCCAGAGTTTCACTTAACAAGCGTTGTTTCCTCATTAGTAATAAAGAATCTCGGAGTTTTAGTTTTCTTCGTGCAGGGCGAGAGAGAGAGAGAAAGCTGTCAGTCCGTCTTTGGCGATCCTTAACATTTATTGAAAACCGAATTAAGGGGATTTTCAGGCTATTAACAGTATAAAGAGTTGGAACACGTAAAACTTCTTATTTCTTGGAATTGACACAACTAACTTTCAGAAATACCGTCAGTCGCTAAATAAACAAATCGCCATCATGAGACTGAACAAAATTTCTTTACTTACTGGTATAGTTTCGCTGGTTGCTGCAATGGCTATGGCTATGGATATGGATATGGATATGGAAATGCAAATGCAAATGCAAGATGATAGACCTATAACAAGCACAACAGCCACGGATGGTAAAATTATACCGACTCCCTACGAAGCTAGCCATTTACATGGATTACCGATACTAGAAAGGCCAGGTTTAACCGCTGCAGAAAAATTATATTGGGAAAATTATTCTTCAGAGACATTTTTTAACACTCAGGAGGGTAATCGTTTTGCGTTTAAATATCATGTGGTTACAATGTGTTTAGTAATGTTTGTAGCCTATCCAATTTCTTTAGTGCTCAATTCTGTAAATTCTGGTTGGTATTTGCCCTGGTTAACAATTAATTTAACTCTGACGGTGTCTTCTTTAATTTTTGCCGCTATCTTTAGTTCAACTTTCCCACATGAATGGTATCCAGGTAATATTTATAAATCTACTTCAATTGTACTCTTTGTTTTAATAATGTTACATTTTATTGTTGCTGTATTATCAAAAATTGCCTCCAGTATTGTTATTGAAGATTCATTTGAATACTCTTCCTTAGGTCATGGTGGTGATGTAATCCCATTGAAAACGTACCCTTCGGGTGGCTCTCCAAGTTCTACCCCAGAAGAAGAAATTGAAACAAACTCGTTAAGAAATAATGTTTCTGCTCAGTCACGTTTCTTAAATTATAAAATATTCAAATCACAATTGGTTCAACGTTTAGCTTGGACATTCGGTGGATTATGTTCAATAATATTCCACACGTTAAATTATCCTTTAATGTTATACATTCTGTTTAACAATTGTGTGGGACTTGCAGTTGGAAACCTTTTTGGTAAGGGTCCACGTGTGTTTAATTTACTAGCTCATTGGATTAAAGGATCGGTATTTGTGATTCTTGGTGTGGTTTCTTTAGCACGTTATTGTGGTCTTGGTCAATCTCATGGTTGGGCATGGAATCGGATCACATATACAAATTCGCAACGTATAAATTCACATTGGCTAAGATATATGCCTAAAGGCACAATAACAATGGAATTTATTGAATCCTTCTTAATCTTTTTTTATGGTTCTACAAATGTGTTTTTAGAACATTTGGCAGGTGCAGGTGGTTCATGGACTGCAAAGGATTTACAACATGTATCAATCGCATTCATGTATATTGGAACAGGTCTATGTGGTCTGTTATCAGAAATTAGGCTTAATAATTGGAGATATTATAATACGTTAAAGACTAGTAATATGTCCAATGAGGAAATATTTGCGGCCACGCCAGGTTATAGCCCTAACCCTTTTCCAACAATGACAATTTTCTGGACTGGGATTCTTATGTCTCAACACGCTCAACCATCACATACATCCACTTCGGTCCATATGCAATGGGGTTATTTATTGTCCTATGGTTCATTTTTCAGAATATTCACCTTCTTGATTTTGTATTTTAAACCTTTAAAAGATGATTATCCATCGAAACCAATTACTGAGGTCATAACATCACTCTGTTTACTAGCAGGTGGACTTATTTTCATGGAATCTACTGATCAAATCATTGAAGCGATGGATTACAGAGGTTATACACCGATGTTTACATTCAATATCAGTGTCGGGTTCGTGGCATTATTTATGGCATGGGTAATGATTATTTGTATGTGGAGAGAATGGTTATTGCAATGTAAGGCAACTAAGTAATAGAGGTATGATAATATGTAATACTATCTAGTAGCTATTAAATAATTACATAAAAATTATTATTATTGATGAATATATGCTTATTAGAAGAAAGATTAGCCATAAAGATTTACTTTAGGTAGACTATAAGTTAAATAGAAACTGGTTATTTTGCTTAGTATGGCTAACTTTTGGAAGGCTGATTAGAATTTTAAAACTAATTGTTGAATTCTTATTGGAAATTCCAGCGTTCTTTTAATATTAATTTGGGAATTAATAATTAGTTTGAATTTTTTGTTTTTCATATTTTATCATCAGAAATCACTATCGTGTTTTTATTTATTGAAGTAACTAAATTTCATCGTTTGTATGACAATGCCAAAATAGTGAAATTTAAAATATTCAACAAAACTTGAAAATCTTTAACAAATCAATAATTTCGTCGTCTTCTTTCTCGATTTCAGTTAATATTCAAATAAGTTATACTAAAACAAATTAAATAATTATATAACTTTCTCTATATATTACTTTTAGCTAATTGTTCATAAGTTTGGTAATCGTTGTACCCTTCTTCTGTGTACGCAAGGAATAAGTCACGATCATATTTAGTAAGAGGCAACCCTTTCTCCAAACGCTCTGGTAAATCTGGATTGGATGTAAAGAATCTAGCATAACTAATCAAAGTTCTATTGTCTTTAACAACATTTTTAGCATCTTCAGGGTGTAGTGCATAATTACCACTTCTAATAACCGGTCCCTTCCAAATAGAATAGATAAAATCATTCGTACCTTCGGTGTAATTACCTTCTCCTTCAGGTAAATAAATGTTAGTAACACGAGGTTCCAAGACATGTACATAAGCGATACGGTTACCTTCGAGTGCCCTTCTTTCAACTTCACCAATCAGGTATGAATATTGTGCAATTAAAGTTGGATCTTCCGCTCCAGACATACCACCAAATACATTGTATGGAGAAATTCTAATACCTAATCTTTCTGCACCTATGACCTCAATTAATGCATCTAATACTTCTAATGGAAAACGTGCTCTATTTTCAATGGAACCGCCATATTTATCTGTACGGTGATTTGATTTTGGATCAAGAAATTGATTCATCAAATACCCTACCAAACAGTGTAATTCAACACCATCAGCACCTGCTCTAATGGCATTCTTTGCAGCATTCTTATAAAATTCAACATATTGATGAATCTCCCCTATAGTTAAAGCTCTTAAAAGGTTTCCAGACTCCTTAGCTTCCTTTTCCAACTCAGGAGTTGGGTATAAGCCTGGAGAGGCAGATACGTAGGGATAACCGTTTTTCTTTAGACATTTTGGGGAGCCTAGTCTACCTAATGCACCTAATTGGACAAATATATATGACTTATTTCCATGGATAGTTTTGATGATCTGGGTCCATTGTTCAACTTGTTCGTCGGACCATATGCCTGGTGCATGATCGAACCCTGTAGCCTCTGGTGCAATCAAGGTTGTACCGGTAAATACTAACGAACCTGGGTGAGTTGATCTTGCCGAATAATACTTAATGTCCCATTCTTTAACGGGAACATTACCTGGAGAACTAGCTCTAAATCTTGCCATTGGGGACATTACCACACGATGTGATAGGTTCAATCCACCTAATTTAATTGGCTTGAATAGGTTTGTATTTGCTAATGGTTCTGGTTTAAAGTCTGAAACAAATGTCATGTTGGGAAAAATTGTTAGAAATGATGGTGTATTATTTTAGAGAAGAACAGGAAACTATAAATAAAGAAGGAACTATCTGAACTGGAAATTTTCATAACTTCAAATTCTACCTGTTTATATAGGTTTATCAAAATGCACTTCTCGAAGTCACGGATACGCGGATAGTAAAACGTCACATAAGTAATTGTAATAAAAGAAAAAACACGGAAACACGGGTACGCGGACCAGATTTGGAAGCGGAAGCCTTTTAACGGACCACTAATTAAACGGAAAAAAGAACCGAAATAGGAGCTTGACTAAGAGTATCCTGTTCCAATAGCACCACTCCTTACGGAATTTATCACTAGAACAGAAGCATAGTCAGGTTAATAAAGTGTACGGAAACAAAGATTTCATCAATAAGGAGTAACATGCACTAAATTTTTTCAGGAAAAAATGAAGCTTTTAGTTAAACAGAGGATGTTGTATGTGTTTTGGAAAAACGTTGTTTGCTCGGTATGCTTTTACATCGTGGAAGTATTTGTTTAAGAAGGATACTTCCTATTTGCAACCTGACAAATATGATAGAGACATGCATTATTCTTAGTGATTAAGTTTTCCGCTCTCGAATTTATGTAAAACACTCTTAGCCGTCAAGAAAATCTGAATGCTGCGGAATTGAAAATTATTATAATAATGTTTGCCATACACAGTAAAATATGAATATTCTCGTCCATACCACATCAATGCCTCTTTTAAAGCTGAAACAATTGAAGTGAATTCATAAATTTCTTTCCTCACATTTAGCAGGATCTAATGAAATAGTTCTCTCATCTTGTATGGTGCATTTCAAGAAGACTTGAAAAAATATTCTGTATGGTATAATTATCGAATAATTATAATATATAAGAAAAACATAAGTGATTCGTATATATTTACTGAAAACCAGGACTTTGTGTACACACTACACAGAAGACCGAGTTAAGGTGAAAAAGGTGATGTTAAAGTTGAATTGACTATTCATAATCAAATATTACTGTAGCGAGGGATTATTATCCTTATGCGTTGGAAATTATTAGAAATGCAACTATGAGACAATACGTCCGGTCCGTATTGGAAAATATTGCACCTACGCTATAATGGGCAAAGGAAAAAAATGACATTGCTCGCATTCGCATTTGATTAAATGAAAAGAGCATAATCACGACCGAATTAAAATTTAGTGTATAAAGAGAACAAACATGACCAAGATATGGATTGATGTTCTCACCTCTTGTATGTATTTACCACATATATTCAAGAGGAGGACAATCTAAGTTTTTCTAACGTATAATGAAAAGTTTTTGATATCTCTAAATACTAACTAGCGATATGAACACTGAAGACGTTCAATATTATGATGATTGTGATGGTAAAGCAATTTATGTCGGAATTTACATGATAGAAGAATGACGTCAAGAATATAAATATAAGAATAAAAGAATAATAAAAATTGTCAGATTTGATAATGTTCAATATTTAACAATCCAAAATGAGAAAAGATAATAATAAGACGCATTTAGAAACCATGCATAATTTCTACAATGCTAGTATTGGAGATTTATAATCACGAAATGTTACCCAATCCAAAGGTATACAAAGGGAACAATATTTCATGCATTGGAATATTTTATTTCCCTGATTATTTTGTATATTATTTATAATTTGTATACTAAAGAAATGAGACGACTATACGTTGGTTTCTAATAAAATAAATTTTGTAC